GGGGAGGGTGGTTGGGGGTGGTGGGAGGAGAAGATCTAGGAAGAAAGAAAGGGTAGGAGGGATAGGTTTGGTGTTTTTTTTTGTTTGTTTTTTTTTAATCCCTTCAAGAACATTGGCTGTGTTCCGGACAGCAAGAGGGCAGAGGAAAATAAACTTCTTCCTGGCTTCTTTCTCCTCTGATTCCAAACTAAATTAAGAGGCGAAGACCATCCTTGGTTCCTTTCCTGGGCTTCTGCTGATTAAGGTCGTGGACCCTGCACCTGTGCCGGTTGCCATTCCCTCCTGTCTCTCTGCGTGTGTACCCATCCTGGCTCCTACCGCGTCTTCACTTTGCATCTCCCCCCAGAAGAAAAATATGTGTGAGTCAATGCCATCTTAAGAAGAAACAAACAAGCAAACACACCACACCCACCCCGCCCTCTCATTCCCCTTCAAGAGGTTTCTCTGCAGGATGGTGGTGGGCTGTGGTGAGACACAGGAGCTTCTAGGAGACCGCGGGATCCAGAGCAGGCTCTTAGGGTTGCTAACTCTGAGATCTTTCCTCACCCTCTCTTTTCTTGGCTGTAAAATGGCAATTAAACTACTAGTTAACATTTTACCCTACACCTATCACGCTCTAGGCACTCCTTGTTATTTATATTTCACGTGTATTATCTTTAAAGAAGTATCACAAGGAAACCCATTTTACAGATGCAGAAACTGAGGCAAAAGTACACTTGTAGATGGTGGAGCTTGGTTCCAAACTCAGGGAGTCTGACTCCTGGGCTCAGCCCCTTAATCACCACACTATTAATAATGAAACTAGCATTTACACTGAAGTTTCAGTGTGACAATTCAGGTAGATGATCTCAGCATAGCGCCTGGCCTAGCGCAGTAAAGGCCTCAGTACGTCTGTTCCACTATCTGTTCCCCCTGTGGGAGTAGAGGGGGATTTATTGAAAAGAGGACAGGCTGAGGAATCACTTTGGACTTCCAAATCTCGGCTGCTTCTTTGAAGGTGACTAGAGTTTCGTTTGGATGAAATTAGAAAACAGCGCTAAAGTGACTGGCACGCTGACTAGCCTAAAATTTAGTAGGGGCTCAATCCTGTTTATCCCAAATTTATCCCCAATGCAGACTCCGTTCTCCCCACTCAGCCACTTCTCAGCTCATTGCGGTTTGGATGTTGCCCTCAGCCACCCTTGGAACTGTTCTGCAGATAATAACACATACTTCAAGAGTGGTTGTGAGGATTAAATGAGATCATGTGTGTGATCTTTTCTTGGCATAAAGAACATAATAGCTTTTGTGATTAATACGGGAGACCCAACAGCAAAGTCCAGTAGGCCCTGGAAACTCTCTTCCTCTTTGATTTTTCCCTGTGAATCTTTGGTCCTATCCTGCTTTCTGCTCTCGCCCAGTTCTCGGAGCTGCCTCCTCTTTCTAGGCCAGGCTTTAACGTTCCTCACATCTTTATACCCGGCACTGGGAAGATCCCAAATTGAAAAAAATCTTCTGCTTTGGTAGTCACCTCTGACCTTTAAATAAATGGTTCTGGGTCTCCCCCAGCCTCAGTCTGCATTGCACACTTTCACCTCCTGCCCTTTGAAACCATCCCTGAGACTTCTCTTTGTTTTTTTCTAGTGCGTATCTTTATTGCAACCTTTGCCACTCTGTACTTGATGCAATTCTTCACTTTTAGAAGCTGTGCTGTGGGTGCTGGGGTTGACCGCTTATTTTCAGTGTCTAACTTCACTTCTTCCTAGATGTATGTGCTTTCCCTTCCTTGTCCTTTCATTTCCTTATTTGAGCCATAAGTATAAAATAATAGTTCCTGTCTCACAGGATTGTTGTAAAGACTCATTGGACAGTCCACGTCAAGAGATTAGTAGTGACTCGCACATAGCAAATGCTTCAGAAGAGTCAGCTATGAGCTACGAGAATTGCTTGTATATTTTTGTCTAGAGCAGAGGTCAAGCCATACCCATCTTTATATTTTAGTGACCAGCCATTACACTCAGAATAAACAAGGTAACAAGGAGATGTTATGCAGGGAGAATAATCTTCTCAGCTCTAATCGCAAGACTGGGAAGGAAAATGTGGGTGGAATCCAGGAAACTGGAGAACACTTGTAGCAGCCAAATCCTGGACCAAAAGTGGCTCATTTGCAGCTAACCTATACCCAAGAAGATGGAGCAAGGGATGAAACAGATGAAGCCAGCAGCATCATGTCCAGCGATGACAAATAAATGGCCCCCATGCCAGACCCTCTGAGTGACCACCTGGGGAATTGAACTGACAGCAAATTGAACTGGAAGTAATAGTTCCCTCATCAGAACACCTGGAGATGCCATCTTTGAGATGGTACCTGGAGATGCCATCTTCAAGACATTCAAGATGTTGATACTTCAAGACCGTAGCACAGTGTTTCCTTTATCAAAGGCCAAAGACTCTCAGATCTGGATGGATAAAATTGCCTCAGAATGTTGGCATCTTTAGATGCCTTCCCCCAAAAGGAATAAATCATAGGATTCATAATTCTGGCTGAGTATCTGGCTTACCTGATGAATGGAGAATTTGCAGCTATTCTGAAAAAGGAACTTTAGAATTGAATATAATGGTGGTACAAGTGCCTTGTGTCTGATTTATTACTGAGTCTGGTTAATTAAAATTTATTTTATATTTAATAAGGAGAATTTCCTAATTTATGCTAGAGAATAAGTGTTACTGTTATGGCCAACCACCGAATCAGAGGACACTTATCAGTTTTTTTCCCTAAACACAAGAAGAGTTAAAGAAAGACTTTCTATAATTAAAGATAACAGCAATTGGGGCCAGCCCAGTGGCATAGCAGTTAAGTTCACTTACTCTGCTTTGGTGGCCCGGGGTTTGCTGGTTCAGATCCTGAGTGCAGACCTATGTATTGCTTATCAAGCCATGCTGTGGCGGCATCCCACATATAAAGTAAAGCAAGATGGGCACAGATGTTAGCTCAGGACCAATCTTCCCCAGCAAAAAAGAGGAGGATTGGGGGCAGATGATAGCTCAGGGCTAAACTTTCTGAAAAAACAAAAAACAGAAAACCAGCAAACACAAATTTGAAATTTTAGTGAATTCTGTTGAGTTGAGCTCTACTTTTGACCATAAAGTCATGTGTATGTGTATACATGTATTATGCATGTCTTGATTAGCCCTCTTAAGCACTATGTACATTTATTTTCTAAAAACTTCTCATCAACAATTATTATTGAATACTTACATAAGGCTGCATTAGCAGTTATGGGGAAAATATATAAGGAGATTGTGTCTTAGGCTTGAAGGAATTCACCTTCTAGTAAGTGAACTGAAGAAACCCACATGGGATAATTAACAAATAACGGGAGAAGTGTTCCTATAGTTTTCAACCATGTTTTGTAGACTATGTCACGATTTGCTGTGTCATTCGAAAGGAGGAGGTCAATGGGAGATGGAGTCACTAGGGAAGATTTTCTGGGAAAAGTGGGGCTTTATTTAGCATTGAAAGATGGGTAGGTTTTTAGACAAGTCAAACATAAAAGACTTGTAATTTAGGAAAGAATAACAGTAAGAAATAAATCACAGGAGTGAGAATGAGCTTGCCATGTTAATAAGGCAGCGTCAGTGGGGACAAAGGCTGACCTAATTGAATAGAATATGTATGCTGGAGAGCACAGGAGAACAGAGATGGAATGTAGGGTGGCATGAGTTTACGGAGGATCTTGAATGCTAGATCAAGGGTAAAGTAGGGAACCATAGAGGTTTTTGAGAGCAGAAGGCTTTCTAATGATCAGAACCCTCCAAAATGGTTTGGAAAGTTTTAATAACTAATAAATTTCCTGCCTCTGAAAGTATATAAACATAAGGTAGACAAAGTTTAGAACTGATTCAAATATCAGACGGTTGATTAAAGATATTTAAAGCCTTGTTAGTCACAAACTTATTTGTCTGCAAATAAAACGTAAACAAAATGTCATGTGCTGCGTAACGATTTTTCAGTCAAAAACAGACCACTTGTATTCCTGTGGTCCCATGAGATTAGTGTCATATAGCTTAGGTGTGTAGTAGCTATACCATCTAGTTTTGTGTAAGTTGTACTTTGTGATGTTCTCACAAGGACAAAATTGACTAAAGATGCGTTTCTTAGAACATACGCCTGTCATTAAGGGACTCATGACTGTTTCTGATTCACAGTGCCTTAAACTTATAATAGTTTACTTTTCCTCTTGTAAGAAGTCTGCAGTTAAGAAGCTGTTGGTATTTGTTCAGTGGCTTGACAATGTCGTTACTAGTGTTTACGTGACTCACTTATCATTTCCCTCTTTTTGGTTGCCTCAGGGTCACCAGATGGCTCCTGCAACTCCAGCCATCAAGTCCTTGCTCAAGGAAGAAAAAAGGAGGAAGGGGGAGGCACCAGCTATATCTTTGCCTTTTCATCAGGAAAAGCAAAAGCTCTCTCAGAGCCCTGGCAGGTATCACTTATATCTCACTGGCCAAAATTTTACCACATGGTCACCTCTACCTGCAAGTGGGACTGGGAAATCAAGTACTGCATCTTGTCTGGGCCTGGGCACGTTGCCACTGCAAATAGAATCTGAGTTCAGTTGTCAGGGAAGAAGATGCAATGGAAAATGTAAAGTAACTAGCAGGGTCTGGTATAAGGACCCTTCCAATGTTGAGAGTCTATGAATCTTCAATCCATTTATTAGTTTTCTATTCTGCCTGTAAACTTGTTTAGTTTTTCTCCATTCTAAAAACAAACACAAACATCAAAACTCTTTTCTTTGTCTGTTTCACAAACTATCATCCTATCACTTTCTTTTCTTTGATCTCTGAACTTCTTTAAAACGTAGTCGATACCTAACACTTCACTTTCTCACTACCTATAATCACATCGCTTCATTTTATTTCTTATCACCCGTAATGTGATCTTTGTACCGTACTGAAACTGTTGCGG